GATCAATGATGTGTTGCCAGTGTCGACAACCAAAATGTATTTATAGGAAACTGTCAAAAATAATATCCAGCATATGATTTATTTTGCAAACCTAAACAAAACAAAATTAGATTATATGCAGTAATTGCATTGTCTGAAATAGAAAATGATACTGTATTAGTCAAATGTTATTAACATTATAAATGAACATGTAACAATTGCATGAGAGAGGCAGGCTGGCACTACACTGTGGACATTTTCCAGATATTCTGTATGTATGTATATCTCATGTATTGTAAATCATCTCATTCATATAGTAACCTTGCTAAAATCCATATTGCTGCCTATATCCTCGTCTTCTGAAATGTTCCTGAATATGATTTAGTAAAAATAGAGACCACTGTGTTCCCTAGTTCGAGCACCACCTGGCTCTGAGTCCATGACAGGCAGATCAGATTGCACAGATGGCAAGGGGCTTTTAGGAAGATTAATACTAGATGATTATTGCTGAAATACGTACGGTATGTAAATGTATTGTTAACAATATTTACTTATTTATTTCTTATTAAAATGCAAGTGCTGAAGGAAATGTTGAATTGAAGATGTTCTGATATCACAGCCATACACAGGCTCATATAAGAGGAGTCTTTTTCTAATGTAGGTAATGGCTCCATCTCAATACAAAGTGCCCCTGTCGGCACTGATTCTCCCTAGGCATGCAGTGTAAGCAGCAGCTACAGTGCTATGTTAGTAAATATAGCTTAAAGGTTCACCACACATCTATGAGAAAAGGAACAAAAGATTGGGTTCTGATGAAGGGGGCGTGCCCCAGAAACGCGTAAACCATTTATCAATACAGGGATCGAGGTTACTGGTGTTTTACATCGCTCCAGATTCTCCCTGCCAGGGGTTCCATCCTTATTCTACTGGTTTTTATTCTACCGAACTGTTGTACGTACAGCCTTAGAGCTGCATGTTTTTACTATTAAATAACGTTTTTACACTATGGAGGCGCTCTCTTTTGTTCCTTTTCTCATAGACTGGTGGTCCATCTAATCTGTGGGAGCTGCCTCCATCGTGTTTGCTGTATTTTTACTGCTGGGCTCTTTTTGGATTTGAAGGCGCCGGTATTGTTTTGCAAGTTCACCACACATGCACTACAAAGATTTAGGGGCCCATTCACACCACATCCAGATCATCTCCAGACTAGACCTGATTATTTCTGAACCCAAAATGCATCCCAATGTATCCCTATGCTATTTCTGGCCTCTGTTCACACCAGCGCAGTCTGTCCCAGACCAGACCAGAAAAATATGGCTCATTTGTCTCATTTTGTCTGGTCTGGAATGCAGTGGAACTGAAGACAGGTTCACACCATTTTTCGGACTAGATAAGGTCCGGAAAATAGTGTGAACCCTCTCGAACATCAACAGATGAATTTGTTAACATGTTCAGGGGTCTTAAGAACTCCAACTAGAAAAAATGGTGCATGCATGAATCTATAACCAGCCTTTATAGCAGGGCGCACATTGAGAAAGCTTACAATAATACAAAACACAAAAATTCCCCAGCCTCAACCTGCCAGCCAGCCTGCAACCAAACAAGTAGCCCTGTCAACAGTATACGTTAAAATCAGAGGTTTTGGTTGCACAAACTTTTGGCCAAAAATATGTAGAAGCCACACTGCCGCGCCAAGGCAGGTTGGCGCGGCATATTTTTGGCCAAAAGTTTGTGCAACTAAAACCTCTGATTTTAACGTATACTGTTGACAGGGCTACTTGTTTGGTTGCAGGCTGGCTGGCAGGTTGAGGCTGGGGAATTTTTGTGTTTTGTATTGCCTTAAGAACTCCAACAATAATAACGGGGATAGAAAACATTTTAAAAACCACAGAAGAAAAACTGTCATCTGCCACTTCTAAATCACTTTTTAGCTTTGAAGGAGAACTATGAGGTGAGTGCTTTTCATTCATCCTCATAGTTCTAGCCGACCTGTGACAATGAGACGGTCACAGGTCGGCTCAGTAGATCGGGAAGTGAGCGAACACATACCGGCGTTCGCTCACTTCTCCATCCTGTCACAGCTCTCTGCCGTGACAGGGGAGGGGCTGGATTCCCCCCTCCCTGCTCCGCCAGCGCTGACTGGCAGAATGGACGGGGGAGGGGGCGGGTACAGCTGGCTCTGCCTCTAGATAGGCAGAGCCAGCTGTCACTCACGCAGCTGGGCGGATCCAGACATAATTGTCGGGATCTGTTTCAGCTGCGGCGTCTCAGCTGCGTCGTCTCAGCTACAGCTCGCGGTATACTGAGCTTAGGGTGACGGGAGGACGCTAGTTTGTGTCCTCCCGTTACCCTTAGGAGAACTATGGGGAAAAGCCCTGACCCCATAGTTCTCCTTCAAAGTAATATTACATTCTCAAATTATGAATCCAGATCAAACAAATATACATTACCCAGCAAAGTATTTCTTTACATTTTTGCCCAAACACTCACAGTCATCATGTTTCTGAACAGCTCCAACTTTCTCAGCTCGGCTTCGTTGAACTTCCTGTCTGGTACAAGATCACTGTCTCCAGCAGCTGCCCATCTACTAGCTTAGAGAAAGGAGTGAGGAGCAGGGAAAAGAGGACTGGCTTTGCCTTGTTGTGCCTGTGTTTTTGTGGAGACACACACAGTTTACTAGCACACACACAAGGTGGCTCCATAGGACTGTGCAAGTGAACGGAGCCCCCTTAAAGCAGGATATCAGGGGGCCAGTGCTCAGGGGAATGATTCTGAAAAACTAAAACTTTTAAATATAAAAGGAGAAGCATCCAAAGTAAGTAATTTAATCAACATTTGAAATAGTTTAAAAACATTTTGACTTTAACATCACAGAAAGTATAGTTACATACAGTGCACAAAATATTATCAGGTGAATAACATGCAAATAACTTGGTTATGATAATCACCAAACCTGTTACTCCAAAAACACCTTCATTTAGTGGTTCTACTCACCATGTCTGTCAATAAACCAGTATCACTTACTAGAACAGCCCGCAATTCATTAACATAAAATCATTGAGTTTATTGTAAAAATGAAAAAATAACACATTGAAACCACTTATCCTGAAGCCTGTAATTATGTACATAACTCACAGTGCATACAATAATGACATGGTCAAATGTTGAACTTTACCTATTGGCATCCCATCAGGAGACATCTTTTACATTGTAAGCCCTCACGGGCAGGGCCCTCCTTACCATCTTGTCTTGATTGTAATTGTATTATAATGTCTACCTTATACTGTAAAGCGCTGCTCAAACTGTTGGCGTTATATAAATCCTGTATAATACTAATAACAGAATCTCAAAATATACAATGAAGCAATCGCAAGGTGGTCCTGATTGTCGATTCAACAAGTAATATACTGTATGCACAAATGATCGTGTTGAAAAGACAAATAAATGTAAATGCTCAAACGCTGAATTACATGTTATCTTCCCAGATTTAGAGCTGTAATGCCTCTGAAGTATTAACGGTGGACACACAATATATGTTCAGATTGGAATCGCAGATAACAGCAGAAGCGCAAAATGTAGAACGTATTGTATCATACAATTCCGCAGTTGTCGGCGACACCATCTCAACACAGGGATATCAGAATGTACAAATTAGCAATCAGTAAAATACTCATGAATGCACAAGCATAAGCTGCATATCTGTCAATCCAATCAACAAAATAGAAACAGGTAATATTTGTATACATATACGGTTTATTTGATCGACTGTTGTGCAGCTTGTGCATGCGTGTTCATGTCTATTTTATAATTGCTTATTTGTAAATTTTGCCTTCTGATGTAATGCCGATAGGCGGACCAAACATTTGACCATATCATGAATGTCTACACTGTGAATTACGAGTTATGTACACAATTTCAGACTTCTATGGATAAGTGGTTTTCATGGGGGTTTTATGGTAAGAAGTTGTTACATAGTTACTTAGTTAGTCAGGCTGAAAAAAGACACAAGTCCATCGAGTTCAACCACACAAGTCCATCGATATTCTGTGATACTGGTTTATTGACAGACATGGAGTACCCTCTGAATAAAGGTCTTTTCATTTTCACCTTTTAAGTTGCATTAGTGAAATAAATGAACTTTGCACGATATTCTAATTATTCGAGTTTCACCTGTATATCTGTATCTGTAACTGAAGCTCTTCCACATAAGGTCACTTTTTTATTTTAGGATTACTAGTCCATTAGCCTCTGTTCTAAGGCTAATTACCATTTATAAAGGTAATCTGACAGGCTACTCATTACCTGGGCCCAGTCATAGAAGCAATAAACTCAAACCTTACTCACATCTTACAAATGTTTATTGGCGCCACAAGTAATATTGTTAAGCAGCCAGTTGATGCCCCCAGTGAATTCTGATTGGACACTAGCACAGCCTTCTAAATGGCTGTCCAAAACACAGGAACACAAGATGCATTTAAATATTTGTTGCATTTTCCAAATAAATAAAAAAACAAGTGTGCCTTTAGATAGACAAAGCAAAATCTTCCACTTCCTGGCCCCTTAAACAAGTGGCAAATATATAGAATATATAGAAAACCGACATGTCCTTAAACATTTCATTATTACCATACAGAAAACCAAAAGAAGTGATGCTAAACTAGCACCTAAAAGTTATATTTATAGCCTTTAACACATACTCTAAATTGCATTCATTTCAAAAGGAAGTTACCTTTTTACAGTACATAGAGGCTTTCCCTGTCCCACAGTTACAAAAAGAATCCCAAGTGCAAAAAAAAGAATTATCTGTAAATAATTGTGTGTTGTAAAATATTGGCATGTGAAAGCATTTGTGTTCAGTTTTGGATCATGGACCTAGTATAGCTAGGTCAGCAAAAATACTAGTTTGGCATGCCTTGCTCAAACAATTGTTTTGTGAGCCCAATTGTGTTACCAAGAAGGACTGACTTTAAAAAAAATATATATAACAAGACTTAAACTCCGGAAAAGCCAGTGGCTGGTCTGCATGGTCAATGCGCAAAGACTACACCATATATATTGACAGCTCTATGATAAAGTATTTCCACAGGTAACAAGGCCACAGAAAGAGAAGAGTCAGGTCTACATTTTAAAAATTAGATAGGAAAGTGAGCCTTATTTTTTGAAGGTACCCGTTTCATTCATGGCAAGGCAGAAGATCGCTGCATGTGGTGCTCCAAACTTGACCTGGAAAGATAAGTTCCGCTTTTGGAGTGCAACTGCTCTGTTAACACACAACCTCCGGATGAATTTCCTTCAGAGCTGTAAACTGGTTCCTCACACTTTTCAGGTCAGTCTCTATGGTTTCTCTGCATGGACAGTGCACAGTGTATGAGGCCAACAGCATAATGTTCTCTGTTGTCTCCACTTGACTTTCCTTTGGTTCAAAAGTGGTTTCCACTTGACTTTCCTTTGGTTCAAAAGTTGTGTCCTTTTGTGAGTCTGGCTCTTGACATGAGGTCAGCCATGCGTGTTTAAGACACTGGTCAGCCCGAGATCTCTTTCTGTGGAGAGAGGGCATTATAGAAGGTCATTCAAATATTCTGCATAAACTCTGACCTTTAAAAAGCATTCAAACAAAACTACAGCTTTGCTTTATCTATCTACTTTTTTATAATAAAATCCATTTAACATATAGTTGTGTTCTGATGTTATAGTTCTGAACTAGTGGATGTCAGGTGTTGTATTTCTTATGCCAGGAATTTCAGTTCTTATATGTAAATATATAAAGTGGACACCAACAGGTTACACTACCCATCAGCTGCCTACACCAGCAAGATATTTCCTTGGAGTCAAACAACCCTCCACACGTGAATTCCAATAAGACAATAACACCCCCCCCCCTCCAAATTCTCCCTAAAAGAGAAAATCCCTAAAATCATATGGGAACCCTTCTAGTGATATATATGCATTAGGTTCTGGGTCTGAACACTTATGTGGTAATTGTGAGCGGGTCTCATGCTTCATCATTTATTCATTTTAAGTTATGCAGAGTGCACCAGGAGGTACAGGAACATGCAAAGGTGGAAAGTAACACCCAAAGTGTTCAGGCAAACAGGAACAGAGTTGTAATTAATGTAAGAGGGATCTCCCTGTTGGAGCACCCAACATATATAACTGGCTTACTAACCTACGACAACCTATGACTAAAATATCACCTTTGCATGGACTGAACCCGTAATGCAGGGTGTGTCCATTATTCTGGTGTCGCAAAACATTGTAAAAAGACAGCACATCAAAAAGTTTTAGACTCACAGCAAAACGTTTTGCTTTTAGACTCTAACTAAATGCCTGTATGGAGTGCTGCCGAGCAGAGAAAGACAGAAGTAGGATTGATGGGGAAAGAGTCAGTCTTTTTTTTTTTTTTAGTAAAGCAGATAAGAATAGTCTGGGAACCATGTAAAAAGAGCCTAGACCTCTAGCTGCAGCTTGTTAAATGTAAATGTGAAATATTCATATGCAAAATGTCATATTTACCCGACAAAAATAATGAAACAATTAAAAAAATATATTATCTTTTATATTATCTAGTCCTAAACATTAAAAAAAATAAACTAAGTGCAAAAACACTAAGGATTCCATTAATATCAATAATTGTTTAACATTTTGATATATCAGATATCATCAGTCTCACAGTTTGCTCACCTCGGGTTCTTTATTAGAAGAGACCTAATGAAGTCAATCGCTTGTTCAGAGATCCCCTCAAACTCCTCCTGAAGGTACTCAATGGCCACTTGTGAGATATTGAGGAATGTCTCCTGCTTGTTGTCTCCCAAAAATGGTGACACTCCAGTAAGCATGACATAAGTCAGAACTCCAATACTCCTGTGTAATTGAAGAAAATGGTTAAACAGCATCCAGCCAGATTGCAGCCAGAATGCAGCCTTGACACATTCAGTACCTAGGTAAAGCTGTATAAGAGAAATAGTGTTTCCATTGCTGACTTTCTTCTGAAAATGCTAGTTGCCTGTTCTTCCTATCGTCTTGCTCCAATGGTTTCTGAGCTACTGACCAGGAGCAATTATTTACATCATAAAAGGCAGAGAAAAAAATAATAGTTCTTATCTCCATATATAGTTCAGGTCAGTGACTTGAGGTTTTGATGTCACTGACCTGATTTAGATGACATGACAGCTAAGCAAATAGCATTTTCAGAAGTGATCAGTAATGGCAGCTCTAACGTTTGTCTAATGAGAGTTTTCCTTCATTTTCCCACAGTTAACAACAATTACACTAAACTCAGTGGAAAATATTGTCCATTTGCTAGTTTAATTGACTATTCAGTTCTATACTGGGACAAAATGTAGCATATCCACTGACTAAAGTAAATATTGGTATTGTATGCCAATGGGACTGACAGAAGATCTGCAGCCCGCAGGAGCTCCCATCCATCTAAAGGCCTGTGTCAGTGGGCAAATTCAGTGTGCTTCTGTGGTCTTTAAAGCGGAACTAAATGCTCTTATCCTTTACAGCCAAGAAAGGCACCATCTTAGTCTCTATTTGCATTGCAGTTGCCCCTGTACTGCACAAGTGATCACCCATGACACCAGCCAGGGCTTGAAAGTTTGGTTGAGAGCTGAAATAAGCACACTGGCAACCTTGACAGCTAAATTAGTGGGTCTAGTTCTGCTTTAAGAGCTCATTGACAGGTGCATTCTGACCTGCAGCTGACCTCCTTCAAGGTGCACCAACCTCCTTCAAGCTGCTTTTGCATTCCCATCAACGTGTAAAGGGCTCGTTCACACATGCGTTGAGAATTTAGAGAGAAGGAAGGCTGATTATGGAGTTAACAAAAACAAAAAGTTCGCCCAGGGGCCTGGGCATTTGGGAAATATAAAGTGAGGGGACATTGGTGAAGTGGTGATTGTATTGCACAAATGTCCAATATATATATATATTGAATATACTCGTCACGGTGGATTGAAATGAAAACATTGAATTATTTCTCTATGTGCTATACAGTACATTGGGAATGGGTCTTTTTTTTTTTAAATCATATAAATGAAACAATATATGATATCATGTACTAATATATTAGGTAATATTTCCTGCAAACGTTCTGTTGCTAACAGTGGAAAGATATTACAAACATATGTTAATGTTAGTATTTTTTTTTTTTTTACTTTTCAAAAAGATTTTTATTAGGTTTTTTCAACATTTTCAAGGTAAGTTGTGACATCGGTACAATAATGTCTAAAACAAAGTACACATATGACATCAAGTAGATAGGAACTGGTCCTTCAGTAATAGCGCTGGTTACATTCAGAAGATATGCACAAATAAAAATATAATATCACTAGGATACTAACTGCTTAGACATTATAAGGAAGAACAAAAAACAAAAACAAAAAAGGAACAATTTATCCAAGTGATAATGAGGATAAATCAAGGGGGGGAATAATAGAGATTGGGGTAGAGAGAGGGGGGGAATAGGTAAGGGTGGGGTGAGCGCTTGCGTATACTATTAATGGATATAGTACCAAAAAAGGTTAAAGCCAGTTCGGAGACAATTTGTGTTAAAGGGTGACCAATTGATGATCAAATGACGGGGGTAGGAAATGGGTAACCCACGGTTCCCAAAGTCTTTCAAATTTAGACATCGTGTCGTGAAGGCGGGCAGTACGTTTTTTGTTATAGAATGTCCAATGTATTTTATTTCTAGCTTCTGATATTGACAGGGAGTCAGACAACCATGCTCTGGCAATAGTACGCTCGTCTGCAGACAACACGTATAGTATTAGCTTAAATTGCAAGGTGGTGAGACCTGTTGGCCTAATGTTAAGAAGTGCTTCTTGGGGAATTGGTGCTATATGTCTACCCATTAATACGGAGATAATCTTGTATATTTTGCGCCAAAAGGCAGCGACTATCGGGCATGACCACCACATGTGCAGATATGTACCACTAACCTGGCAGCCTCTGGTACATAGGCCGTCTTGGGCTGGCATGAAGTGTGCTAGCTGGATGGGGACTCTGTACCATCTAAGAAGTACCTTGTAATTGGCCCTTAAGGGTCAATGCATTTCTAGAGCACGACTTAGTACTTTCCCATATTTGGGACCAGATTTCATCATCAAGCGTGAGGTTGAGATCTGCGTGCCAGCGGTCCATGTACACATGTTGGGGTGGGCCCGTGCCTGATATTAAGGAAGAGTAAAGTTGTGAGATCAGTCCTGGAGTGTGGGGATCTCTGTTACAAGTTTACAAGTTCGTTCAAAGGTTGTCATTGGAGAGGAGGTTATTGGGAATTTTATTTGAGATTGGATAAAATGTTTTATTTGGAGGTATCTAAATAATTCATTGGAGGGTAAGTTATTTTTTGATTGTAGGATGGGATAGGGAATGACTCCCTGGCTATCAACTAATTTGTGTAACAATGTTAGTTGATTGGTGGCCCAAACTCGGAAAGAAGACGGGGATTCAAGGCCTGGGACAAAAGAGGGGTTTCGAAGAAATGATAACAGGGGTAGGTGCGGAGAGATAAGGCCACTAGAATATTTTACTGAGTCCCATATCCTGAGGGAGAGACGAGTGATTGGGTTAGTGATGAAAGATCTATCGGTAGGTCGTACCCATAGGAGGTTGTCGGTAGTAATTGGATCACAGTCCATCGCCTCAATGGAGACTCAAAGAGGTGACTCCACCGAGGCGTGGTATTTGGAGATGGCAGCAATTTGCGCAGCATAAAACTATTTTTGGAGGTTTGGGACTCCTAGGCCTCCTGTTTGCTGCGTAGAGAGTGGGGAAGGAGGAGGTAAGGCGGATTCCAAGATATGTGAGAGAAGTTGATTCCCATTGAAAGGGGAAATTTGCCTCCAGTGATGGTGTCAGGTGGATCTGTATTGGAACTGGGAGGACTCGAAAGGGATATAAAAGTTTCAGGAGGAGGGTCATTTTGATTGCGGCAATTTTCCCTAACCAGGAAAGGGGATAGGTATTCCAGATTTTCAGCATATTAGTGAGTTTTGTGATCAATGCTGGGTAGTTTGCTGCGTAGAGAGTGGGGAAGGAGGAGGTAAGGTGGATTCCAAGGTATGTGAGAGAAGTTGATTCCCTTTGAAAGGGGAAATTTGCCTCAAGTGATGGTGTCAGGTGGGTCGGTAAGGAGATATTGAGTATTTTGGATTTGGTTGGGTTAATGGACAATCCTGATAGGTCTTTAAATGTTTTTAGAAGAGGCATCAAATTGGGGAGGGAAATGTGTGGTTTAGTGATGTAAAGTAGAATATCATCAGCGAAGAGACAAAGCTTATGTTGTTGCCCTGCCACCGAAATGCCTGTGACGTCTGGATGTGCACGAATGAGCACCGCTAGGGGTTCAATGGCTAGGGCAAATAGGAGAGGGGATAGTGGGCATCCCTGGCGTGTTCCTCTTTGGATTTGGAAAGGCGAGGATTTATAGCCTGCGTATTTTACTGATGCTATTGGTTGCGAATAGAGTGTGGAGATCCAGGTACAGAATCCCTTGCCAAATCCCCAACGACTCAGTACTTCGAGTAAGTAGGACCAGGACAGAGAATCAAATGCTTTATGCATATCTAGTGATAGTAGTATTGCTGGGATATTACGTTTTCTAACAAAGTCTATCAGAAGACAAGTTCTGCGTACATTATCTCCAGCTTGGCGGCACGGCATGAAGCCTACTTGATCTCTGTGAACGAGGTCACCTATAATCTTATTCAGTCTGGTCGCGAGAACTTTAGCCAAAATTTTGATATCAATATTCAATAAAGATATCGGTCTGAAGTTAGACCAGTTGCTATCGTCAGAGTTTGGTTTAGGGATCATGCACACAGTAGCTGCTAGAGATTCTTGTCTAAATTTGCCTCCTATTCGAAGGGTATTGAGGGCATCAGTGAGGAGCGGGGATAGAATTTCCCTTAAATTTTTTATAGTATGTTGCTGTGAAGCCATCGGGACCCGGACGTTTGTGTAATTTTAGTGATTTTATGGCTGTTTGTACTTCGTGGATAGTAATCGGTAAGTCTAGGGAGTTACGTTGAATATCTGAGAGGGCAGGTAAGGTTAAATTCGCAAACGTCTTAGATAGAAGGTCAGTATTTTTATTGATTCTTGGGGCTGATAGAGGGATGATAGGTGCTGTGCAAATTCTTGTACAATTTTACGGGGATTGCTAGAGAGGGTGCCATCTGATATGCGAAGGAGGAGGGGCTTCTGATGTAAGTCCATCCTTCTAAGTCTGCGGGCAAGTAATGAGTCTTGCTTGTTGCCCTGTAAGTAGAACTTATGTTGAGTCCTACGCAGGCTTTTTTCATTAGTTTTTTTTCGTTAGTTTTGAACATAACTATCCTTAAAGGAACAATAATGGGAAAGTCAGCTTTCCACAGACATGAAGGAGCTAATGTTGCAGCAAGTTAAAAGGAACATTTCTTAAGGGACCGTAATATACAGAGGTACAGGTACTCCTTGAATGAGATCCTAATAGGTTGGACTTGATGGTCTTTATTCAACCTCAAATACTATGTAACTATGTAACTATGTAAAATGCGGATCAGCCATTTATAATGGAAAGGGAAAGACGTCCCCAGAACATGTTGAGGTTTCTGTGGATGCAGCATGACAGCGCACAGCTCAGGATTTTCCATAACACAGTGGAAGTCAGTGCATGCTGTTGAGCAGAGCAGAGCCATAGTTAGCTTCTTTTGTGTCCGAGGCAAGAACAGAACATTTTGCCCCCCATTAGGGTATTTCAAGGAAAGGAAATAAATAACAAGGAAATTAATGATATTAGAACTTTTTATGGGGTGATACGAACAGAGCAGGGGAGTAAATCCATTTTTTCAGGGGTGATGGGGACAGAGCATGGGGACATGGGGTGAATACCGCCAACTATAGAGTACTAGAAACCCCAGCAATACATTATACAGCAATGCAGAATACCACCAGCTATAGATGACTACAAATCCCAGCAATACATTATACAACAGTACAGAATATTATGAAGCAACATTCTCTGTGTTGCTCCAGGGTGACGGCCTGATGTCTCCAGGGTCTCAGGTGGGCTGTTCGGAGTCTCAGGAGGGCTGTGTGGGGTCTCAGCAGGGCTTTGTGGGGTCTCAGGTAGGCTGTGGGGGTCTCATGTGGGCTGTGGGGGTCTCAGGTGGGCTGTGCGCAGTCTCAGTGGACTCAGTGTGTGGGGATCTCAAATGGGCTGTGCAGAGTCTCAGGATGCTGTGCGGGGTCTCTTGTGGGCTGTGGGGGTCTCAGGTGGGCTGTGGGGGTCTCATGTGGGCTGTGGGGAGTCTCAGGTGGGCTGTGGGGGTCTCAAGTGGGCTGTGCGGGGTCTGAGGTGGGCTGTGCAGGGTCTCAGGTGGCCTGTGGGGTTCTCAGGTGGGCTGTGCGGGGTCCGAGGTGGGCTGTGTGGAGTCTCAGGCGGCCTGTGGGAGTCTCAAGTGGGCTGTGCGGTGTCTGAGGTGGGCTGTGTGGAGTCTCAGGTGGCCTGTGGGGTTCTCAGGTGGGCTGTGGGGGTCTCAGGTTGGGCTGTGCAGATTAATTAATTATTAATAATTTTTATTTATTTTATTATTTTGTATCACATTTTTATTGTATTATTTCTTAATACATTTTTTTCATTTTTATTTTATTTGTTTTACTTTTTTCACTTAACTTTATTGCTATCACACAGGGGCTAACAAGTGAGTGCCTCAATCACCTTACTGTTCCTACGGCCCTGCGGCAGTGCATACAGTAGTCCGAAGTGTAGGTGCCCAGTCTTTTGCTTACTTTGGGCAGAGAAGCTGGACATGCATATACTTATACTGGACCTCCAACTGCTCCTCTGCAAACAGTAAAGGTATGAGAGTAAAGATCATCCACTGAGCTGCAAGCCAGTCTGCAAAAAGGGGTGTGCTAAAGTGTAATTATTGCTACTAAAGAGACTGTATATAATGTGCATACTCATCAGTGTCTAATAATAGAGTGAAATATTTTCACACTGAATTAACTGGAAGTGCAGAATGAGCTACAACAAGAATTATTCAGATTTACATTCCGAATTACAATGTGCTTGCTTCTGCACAGGTCAATGTTTACATTATATTGGTTATGACAAAGGAATGCTTACCACATATCAGTTGCTGTACTGATTGGTTCATAGCTGAGCACTTCTGGAGCTAAAAATAATAAGAAATCATATAAGTTCACAGGTGGGGACATTCTCTCAAGTATAAGTGTTAGTTAAAGATGATTCAATAGGACACCATTGCTTCTGACAACTCTATACAGTAACTGAGATGTCCATCACTCTGACCCCCTCTGGTACAGAATAATAAGCAGACATTGGTACAAGTAACACTAGTGTTCTGGAATAGTGCACTCATTCCAGAGGGATTTAAAAGGGAATGTCTAGTGGTTTTGTATAAATATTCTCTTTACTTATTATGGTCAGGCTTTTTAGTAGGTAATACATATTGCAAATAAATATGTTGCATTGCTATATCCTGCCAGTAGGTGGAGCTTTGGGGACTTCTTCATGTTTCTGCATTGCTGGTAAAAGTACATGTAGATCTGAGCGCTTCTATCCATTATAATTACAGTATATAAAATGCTCAATGATCCGTCTATAAACCAAATATATAAATGTAACCTCTGAGATAAAGGATAAATCCAGGGTTGCAACATCAGATTTTTATCTACAGGTGGTACTGCAGTTGAAATATAATGTGGATATCAAAACACAATTTACAGATAGAAATATGTTTAACTCTAGTTGCAGATTGTGTTCTAATTTCATGATTTACAGTATGTGCCCCTCCTAACTGATGCATCGTACAAACATTATATATTCAACGATAACACTAAAATATGCATATATGAGCAGATTGGCAGAGTGAGGCTCCAGGCAAAACTTTTATTATTTAAATAGTGGGAAATAGTTAGAACCTCTGTTAGGTTTTTAGTGGTGCCTGTGTCCCCAATGTGATAAAAATCATCCACACCCAACGAACTGGCCGTGATGTCACTAGTTGCTGAAGGAGGATTGAGATCTTTATTATGTCCAAAGATGTGATCCAATTTTACACTTACCTACATATTCTGGTGTCCCCAAAATCTCTCGGACCTCCTTAATGCTATCCACTTGCCTGGAGAGGCCAAAGTCTACTATACGAATATCACCCAGTGGATTGCTGCTGGTAAGTAAGATATTCTGTGGCTGGAACAGATAAACACAAAGAAAAGAGCGTTAGCAGAAGGTAAAAGTATAAGGGAAACTTGATGATAAATGCTTTTACTGGTAACAGATTGCAGATAATGATTTCATGTTCTGCTTTTTAATGTATCATATTACTAATGTAACATACGGTAGTAGGTGGAGGAATAACTAATTTCCTTTTAGGTTTAGGTTAGGGAAAGGAAAAAACCCAGGGACAGACCCGCCCTGCGTGTGCCAAGCCCTCACAGGACACAACAGGGATCGGCAGCGGCGAGGGGGGGAGCGCACATCTGCACACATTATACAAGCGATCCAGCAGCTCTACAGCCGCCGGACCACTTCTATGTAAACCAGTATGTACATGCTGCTACTCGTCCGGCTCCGGCGTCCTCTTATCTGTGAGTTAATTTTCAAGCCCTGTATTGATATTTTCCATATTTTCTTTATCTGTGCTCTTTGTTTTTGCCTCCCCCTTTCCAACCTCCCCCCTTGCCATGCACAGCGAGACCACCCCATCGCATACAGCTGTCTTTCGCATTGTGCCTTTTTATTTTCTCCTGTGTCTGGCTTCCTAGCAACATGAGACGCTTGAGGAGGTGCCTGCAGTTTACGTCACCGCACGAACATTTAAACTGTCGGATCTCGTATCTGCTTCTCCTCCTTCTCTTCGTTTGTGTCTCTTTAACACTCTTTCTGTTGTAAAGCCGACAGTCGGCTCTACAAGTTTAAACAGACTCCCGGCGGCAAAAGTCGCCGTGAGTCTGTTTAAACAGCCCCGATGCTGGCGACGTACACTGTACGTCGTCAGTCACGAAGGGGTTAAATGAGCAGTGGCTCCTGCTGCTGAACTCGATCGCCGCCGCCGCTGCTCGGCTTTAATACGAGTGATCTCGTTAGATCACTCGTATTAAACGAGCAGTGGCTCCTACTACTCGCCCGGTACCGAAACTGCATGTCTCGGGCATTTGCTCCATAAGACGCAGGCACTTTTTCCCCCTCCTTTTGGGGGGAAAAAAGTGCGTCTTATGGAGCGAAAAATACGGTAATTGAGGTATTACTCTCATGCATGCTGGCTTTGCAAGGTGATTTTTGATTTATATGTTTATGTAGTATTGTTTTCTTATGTATTTTGAATTAAGGTGGGATCTAACGTTGTGATGATATCATGAGGTGGGGTCTTGGTGCAACTAATTGTGTTCACACTATAAATTGATTGTAGATGCATTGATTGTTTGTCACAATCTCGCCCTGATGAAGGGACCCTGCGCGGCCCTGAAACGTTAATAGAGATACGTTGATGGTAGCGGGGGTTCAACAAAGACTTGAAAAACTTAATGCAAATAAATCTTGAGGACCAAATAACTTGCACCCCAGGGTACTTAAAGAGCTCAGCCATGTTATAGCAGCAGCGTTATTCCTCATTTTCAAGAACTCCATACTGACATCATACCAAGTGACTGGCGGAAAGCTACGGTTGTACCAATATGCAACAAAGGTTCAAGATGCCAACCGGGGGAACTACAGACCAGTCAGTCTAACATTAATAGTATGCAAACTGTTTGAGGAAATGATAAAGGACTATTTAGTGGATGTTGTTCGCGAGAAAGTCATAATAAGTGATAATCAGCATGGATTTAGGAAGGACCGTTCTTGTCAGACCAAGCTACTAACATTCTACAAAGAGGTGAGAAGATATCTGGATAAAGGAAGTAGTGTACCTGGATTTTGCAAAAGCATTTGACACAGTACCACATAAATGCCTAATTCACAAGCTTAAATCTATGGGCATAAATGAAATGGTGTGTACATGGATAGAGAACTGGCTACAGGAACGTGTCCAAAGATTATCAATAAATTGCTCTTTTTCACATTGGTCTAAGGTCGAGAATAGCGTGCCCCAGGGTTCTGTGCTAGGCCCAATACTGTTTAACCTGTTTATTAATGATATTGGGGAAGATGTTAATAGCCATGTTTCTGTGTTTGCAGATGTAATGCTCTGATACTAAAATTGGGAGGGTGACACGGACTTAAGACAGTATAACATTACAGGAGGACCTGGATAAAATAGGGGAGTGGGCAACTATATGGCAGATGAGGTATAATGTTGAAAAATTTAAAGTAATGCATTTTTGGGTTAAAAATAGGCAAGCGGAATACACATTAATGGGAACTCTACTAGGGAAGTCAGAAATGGAAAAAGATTTGGGGGTCATAGTAGACCACAGATTGAACAATAGCATGCAATGCCAGGGTGCGGCAAACAAAGCAAGCAGGGTACTGTCATGCATTAAAAAGGGAATGTACTGTAGAGGCATAGCAATAATTTTGCCACTTCATAGATCACTGGTTTGGCCACATCTTGAGTATGCGGCTCAATTTTGGTCACCAATCTACAGTAAGGATGTCCTGGAGTGAGAGAGTCCAGGGAAGGGCAAGGAAACTAAATAAGGGGCTAGAGGACCATAGCTATGAGACAAGGTTGCTAAATTTAAACTTGTTCACACTGGAAGTGAGGCGATTTTGATGTACAAAATGTTGGGTGGGGATGGCAACATCAGCAATAAACGTTTTTCTGTAAACTCCCTAAAAATGACTAGAAACCACCTCCTAAAATTGGCGGAGAAAAGATTTAACCAAAAAGGGCGTAGGGACTTCTTTTCAGAGTGGTTACATTTTGGAACTCTCTTCCACAAGCAGCAGAGAATATTGATTAATTAAAAAATCAATTAGATACTGTCCTAAGAGACCGTAACATACAGGGGTACAGGTACTCTTAAAAACTAAGACCACACAGGGGCTCATATACACACATGCACGCACAAACACACAAAGACACACAAAGGTTGAACTTGATGGACCTGTGGCTTTATTCAACCTCAAATAAGTATCTATGTAACAACAAAAGTGTGTGACTATTCCTCTAATAAAAGAAAACAAAAAACAAACAATGAAAAAACATTATCCAACGAGGTAATCCAAGATCAACCAGCGATGTCCACGATGCCGCCAACTCGGCAAAATAAAAAAAGAAGACGGCAGCCGACCCGCAATGAACTCCTGCCACAGAATGCCGTAGAATGACATTTTTACAATTGTCAGACGAATGACAACAATTGGGGGGAGTCAGCTATGACATCATGGCTGGCTCCACCCATTTGTTGTCATGCAATGACAGACCACTGTCCTCAAATGACCTGAAAAATCACTAAACATGAGCTTCCCCCAAAAGTTATATTTTCGGAAACCTATACTTGTAAAAAATAGTATTCACAATTTTGTATGCCCCAAATTGTAAATTCTAAATGACCAGCACTATAAAAACGTTTACCACTTATCAATTTATAGTTCAACTGAAATGTCACTAGAATATATATTTTTTACCTATAACTTGTGCAGATACCTAATATTTTCAGTATTATGCATATTTGTGGGTCATAGTATGTCAGGTGTACAGGCAGTCCCCGGGTTACATACAAGATAGGGACTTTAGGTTTGTACTTAAGTTGAATTTGTATGTAGGTCGGAACAGGTACATTTTTTAAGTGTAACTTCAGCCAAAAAAACATTTTTTAGTTTTGGATAGCATAGGGAAGGGTCACATTTGTTTCGCTGTCTGTTCCTGTTGTTCAGAAGATTATAATATAATTAAAAAAATGTTTTATTTAAAATGACACACCAAAAAAAGTTTTTTTCTATTTTTAATTTTATTTTATAAACTTAATTTTTTTTATTTGTTTGCATTTTTAATTATTATTTATTGAACTTTTTTTTTATTTTTTTGTCTTTTTAATTTTATTTTTTTTAAACTTTTTTATTTTAATGCTGGGAGCAATAGCCAGCAGCTTGATATTGGATATTTCAAATTGCAATAACCAATAGCAGGCTGGCTATTGCATCTGCCCACTGCTTGCTGTCAATCAGCAGAGGAGGGGCCTGATAAAGTTCTCTATCAGGTCCTCCCATGCTGATTGACAGCAGGCAGTGGGCAGGTGCAATAGCCAGCTTGCTATTCGCTATTGAATTTTACAATATCCAATAGCAGGCTGGGTATGGCTCCCAGCCTGCAGATGAAGATGAGGCAAGGGGGGCAGAGGTGCCGCTGCCGGACGGGGGAACGGAGAAGCTGACGGACCAGGGGAAGACAGCAGCGGAGGTACGGGGGCAGCGGAGCAACACAGACGGGGAGAACAGCGGGGATATGAAGGGACACAGGCCGCTGCAACCACAGTTCTCCTAAATGTACCGGCGGCTGCCGGTACATTTAGGAGTACTGTGGACCCCGTTCGTAAGTACGCATTGTCCGTAAGTCGGACGTCCGTAACTCGGGGACTGCCTGTATAGTTTTTTTTAATTCTGTAACCCTCACAGTCTCAGTGTCACATCCTCCACTGACCTCAGCGGCTATGTTCTCCTCACACTGAGCCGGCAGAGTGGAGAATCTAACATGCCATAGGAGTCCCTCGGCAGTTAGCTCTCTTTTCTTTCAGCGCCCCCCCAAGTGGAGCACATGCGACTGCTGCATCCCTGGTAGTTCTGCCAGTGTTCTCTTCACAGAGTTCAGTGCTGATTTTGAACACTTTATGCTGCATTGCTTGTCCAGACCACCAGGGCCGGATTAAGAGCATCACAGGCCCGGTGCTGAGGATTTTGGTTGGCCTTTTTATGTAAATGGCAACGGTCACTGGGGCCCTCTTCCTACTGTCCAGGCTGTTAATTGTAGTCTCTCTACAGCCTGGAGTGGAGCGCCAGGGCCCGGTTGCAGCTGTGACCCTGGTAAACTCCAAGCTGTAGAGGCACTGCAAATCTTAGCAATACATTATACAGCAATGCAGAATACCACCAGCTTTAGAGGACTACAAATCTCTGCATTACATTATAAAGCAATGCAGAATAAAACCACTAACTATAGAGGACTACAAATCACCGTAATGCATTACAGAGCAATGCAGAATACCACAACCTAATACAGGACTAGAAATCCCAGCAATACATTATAAAGCATGGTCAGTGCGGGCTCTTAGGCAGTCAGTGTGGGCTCTCAGGTGGTCAGCGTGGGCTCCAGGTGGTCAGTGAGGGCTCCAGGTGGTCAAAGAGGGCCCCAGGTGGTCAGTATGGGCTCTCAGGTGGTCAGTATGGACTCCAGGTGATCAGTATGGGTTCTCAGGTAGTCAGTGCGGGCTCCAGGCGGTCAGTGCTGGCTCCAAGTGGTCAGTGAGGGCCCCAGGTGGTCAGTATGAGCTCGAGGTGGTCAGTGCGGGCTCCAGGTGGTCAGTGCGTGAGACTAGCGGCCGCGGCTCTCTGCTCAGGCATATCAGAGGGCCGCTTGCTGGGGCCTCTAGGGGCCCTACTGAGGAGTGAGCGTCCGACTGATATGCCTGAATAGAGAGCCGCTACCTAATATTTCTACACTGTTTGTCATTGTGCTCATTGTCTCCATCTCTTTTTGGCCTTGTTTTCTTATCTTGCGAAACTTTAATATCTTTTTCTTTAAAAATAGTAGCTGACAAAGGGACAGAGAGTTCGGGCATGTGCAATGCCTTCATTAAGGTCAGCACGTGAAGATCTCTGTGCCAGGACCAGACACAATTTTTGTCTGTGGTTGGGAAACATGGAATTTCTGTTAAATATATGTTGGTATATAAAAAATAATCTGAACACAAACTTTACCTTTAAGTCTAAGTGGACAACGTTATTTCGGTGAAGGTAAAGAACCCCTTGCAGAATCTGGCTTATGAGCCGAATTACATCCTTTTCTGTGAAAGCTTCATCTTGGTCTGCTACACACTGATTGAAGATTTCCCCACCGGCTGCACTGGAGAAACAAAAATATGCAAGTTGAAATCAAAGTGTGATCTTTTTTTTTTCGGGCAAGACTGTAAGTGCAGCTGTTTAAAGACCGACTTCAGCCAAAACACTTTTATCAGACTTGAATGGGATATAACCTCTGTCAGGTTTTAATGCTGCATCCTATGGGACAGATGTTGTTCAGATGTCCTGATACCATTTTTCAAGGCCAAGTACAAGTACTCTCCCTCAGGTACTTGCCGATACCAATTACCGTTGCTTTTTCTTAAAGTGACGTTTTTGCTAAAACAATACAGACTAATAATTTTAGGGCAGTTTCTTTCTAATTATAAAGAATCCATGATTACTGAGCAATGGAGAATGGCAACAAACAATAGAGGATTACAAATCTCAGCAATCCATGATTATTCAGCAATGAAGAATGGCAACTAGCAATCATGGATCGCTGAGATTTGTAGTCATCTATAGCCAGTTGCCATTCTCTTTTGCAGTATAACCATTGATTATACCTCGATGGAGACTGGCAACCAGCAATAGAGGACTACAGATCCCATTAATCCATGATTAAACACCAACTATATAGGGCTGTGTGAGGTCTCACCAGGGATGCATGCAGGTCTCACCAGGGATGCATGCAGGTCTCACCGGGGATGCATGCAGGTCTCACCAGGGCTGCGTGCAGATCTCAACTGTTTAGGTCTCACCAGGGCTGCGTGCAGATCTCACCAGGGCTGCATTTGGGACTCACCAGGGCTGCATGCAGATCTCAACAGGGCTGCGTTTGGGTCTCACCAGGGCTGCGTGCAGATCTCACCAGGGCGGTGTTTAGGTCTCACCAGGGTTGCATGCAGATCTCACCAGGTCACCAGCAAGCGTAGGACCTCATGCAGCCAAACTTAATTTAAAGTGCCGGTACCGGCCTTAAGAATCGGGCATTTTCACGAGTGCTTGTACCTCAGAGGTAGTGAGCAGAATAAGTGAGCTGAATGCCGTTCAGTCACTGCTGTTCGGAATAGGGCGAACGGCAGCGAGTGAACTGCAGGAGGTTCGGCTCAGCCGATCCAGATGTTGGATTGGCTAAGTCGAATGGCTCCTTCACTTTGGCTCAGCCAAACATGCTGAGCATGTTCGGCTGAACCGAAGCCAGCTAATTTTAGCCGATGTACGGCTGGTTTTAGCCGATGTAAAGGCCATCAAACATTAACTGAAGGGGTTAATTGGCTCCCTGGCTGTGAGATGCCTTTATGTGAAGGTATTGTCTCAGCACATTCCATGTTCAGGGGCCAGCAAGACTAATTTGCTGTCTACACGACCGAGTGGCTAATGAGCAGTGAAGCACAAGGCCAATAGACAAAGGACTGAAAACAGCAGCATTTTTCTGTGACTCCAGCTGCTTTATGTAGGCCATGGAAAAAAAATATCAAATAGGACAAGAATAGTCTTTGTTGGTAATCTGCAGTAGGATTTAAAGGGCACTTGGCTATCCATTTATACCATCAAGTCACCTGTACATGTTACATTAAAAATCCATGATATGGTTTGAAGGAGGAATGTTCTAATCCTATTTTGTATTTTAGCTTTGTTTCCAGTTATTTTCCACGGAACTGTCTTTTACGCCCATATCACTGTATACATTTTGTAATCATTATTATGGGAGGTTCATTCAAGTCAAACATGACCATTTTGGTCACACCGATTGTCTTTCAGGCAGCTCTGTTTGAATCTCAGTCTTCATCTTGTCTACCTGTCTGCTCTGTGAGCTAAACTTAGGAACAGTCGGGAGATTTTCAGTAACTCTGCTGAAATGTCTGTTTTTGGTTTTTTTTAATCAGATATTATTTATTTGTTTTTTCTTTTTCCTTTCCATACATTGTGAACATTGACAATAAAACCACAACTCAAAACAACTAACAAAACAAAAACAAAACAAAAACAAAAAAACAAAAACCTGAACCTAAGAACAACAACAGAACGATCCCTATCTGCAGTCCCTACTTTTCTATCTATCTTTATTCTATTTATTATTGCCCATTTCTTTCCTTTTCTTCCACTTATAATATTATTTTTTGTCCTCTTAATCCAGGAGGTCCCAAGTCCGACTGATATTCATATTTTCAATCCACCTATTCCAAATTCCCTGAAATTTACCTAAATGGCCCCTCATCCTGTAAGTATGTTCTTCTGTCTGTTTAATCAATTTTTTGCATTGAATTAATTTTAACGAGAGAGGTTACTTTATCAATTTTATCTATTGTGTACTATTCACACATAATTTTACACCCTTTCTTTTTTCATTTGTACATTGATTATTTTCATTAATTAGTTCTTTAACTGTGCTCTTTACCCACCACAAACCACTACACCTTGTAAACACCTAAAGTCCTGTTAGGTGGCCACGTGGAAGCCCCTGTAGAAGGTCAAGCACACACAAATTGAGAGGGTTAAACAAGACAATTATAGTCAAGCAGATTGGGTGACCAATCAGCGTTACTCACACAGAGGGGAATTTGTCAAACCTGGAGCAGCCAAAACTTGGAGCAGTAGCATATGGCAACCAATCAGCTTCTCTCTTCTGTTTGTTCAGTTAAGATTTGAAATGAAAGATAGAAGCTGATTGGTTACTGTGCACAGCTGCTCCATATTTTGACTGCTCCAGTTTTGATAATTTCCCCTCACAGTGTTTTAGCAGAAATTATTTATTGTCTACTTTCCTCAATTTGAATGGAAAATAAAGTGATATTAAAGTCAAAAGTTTGTATTCATTTTTCAAATGCTGAATAAATCACTTGCAGTGGATGCTGCTCCTTGTTTAAATGTTTTAATTTTCTGCAGAATCAGCGGGTCTCTTGAGCACTGGCTCTGCTATCCTGTTTTAGGGCCAGTGCAGACCTGAGCGATTCAGGACACGCGTCCCGGGATCGCGCGGTCATGCACAATTGCAGACAGTGATTGGCCCATTAATTTCAATGAGGTAGATCTGCATGGCAATCGCAGAAAAAAAGGTACATGTACCTTTTTTTGCGATATACGACACGTGGCTGTTGTAGCCGCGACAGCCCTAAAATTATCACTTGCACTCCGACGTTGGCGGTGACATGTAACATGTGTGGTGCAATAGGCGCAATCGTTGTTTTAGCACGTGAGTGCACCTGACACATGTTTGCGTGTGTATTTGGGGGGCGGGGGACTTTAAAAAAAACTTTGTGGGTTTTTTTTATGCTTCTTTAATTTTTTTAATTTCTTTTTACACTTAACTTTACTGCTATCACATAGGGGGCTAAGCCCCCCATGTGATAGCCAGTTTACATGACAGGTCCTCTTTATGGAGACATCAGGGGTGTCCAAGACCCCTATTGCCACCTAGGGACCCCCAGAGAAGCTGTTCATCAGAGATCTGCTTCTGTAGCTGGGAATGACAGCTGAATGAGGAAGTGATGTAATATACATCACTTCCTGCATTCGGGGGCTGGAGAGGAGATCAGAGGGAGATCGTGCACCAAACTCCCTTTGATCTTCTGTCACAGAGCAGCCATGCCGATCCCGACTGCACCGGGCACAGTGGATCTCGGGACCGGCAACGGCAGTGACAGCGGCAGCTGCAGGGGGGGCGCTCGATCGCTTGAATGTAAAGCTACTCGTCCGGCTCCAGCGTCCTCTCGTCACAGACAAGTGGATTTTTCAAGCCCTGTGTATAACAATGCCCAGTTTATTACAGTAATTGATTCGATAAAATAATTAAAGCCCAGTGGAACTAAATACATTCAAGGTACATCAAACCAAGAGGTTTTCAAAGTCTTGGAGTTCTTTTTCTTTGGAAAGCTGCCACATCCTGAATAGAAAAGCATGTCCCCTGCCAGCAGAAGGATCCTTGCCTTTCTGTGTAGAAGCAGTCTCTCTGCAGAGGTCTAACACACTCTAGCCCTGCAAGCAGCAAAGTTCATGCTCTCTGCTGACTGGAGAGTTCCAGCTATGATTCAACAGGGGAGGTGTCAGCCCTCTGCAGAGAGACCAGAGCAAGGTTCCTTATCTGCAGCATGCTGACAAGAGACAGGCTTTTTTAGGCAGGATGTGACTGCTTTTCTAAAGAAAACAGATTTTAAGACTTTAATCAACTTTTGTTTTGATGTACTGTACCTGAAATATTTCATATTAAATAACCCTAAGTTTGCTATTAGCCCGCCATTGTCCCCTGCATGGCAGCAGACTAAACGAGGGAGGGGAAATATTGTAAACCAATTGGTTCTGCTGCAGTGCATTTTGTCTTCTGACACCTAGGGATACATTCACACTGTGCGATTGAGGATGCCTACGCACAGTAAAACCTATAGATCCTGCTGCAGGAATCCAGAATCTCCCTTTTACATGTGGCTGCTGTACCTGTTTAAGTTAATTGAGTAGTCGGTGACAGCGGGTGACTGCGGCCGCATCTGTAAGCTGCAGTCCGCATGTATTGTATCACAAAGATAGGTTTGGAATATATTACTGTGCCTGGCCTTAGAGCTTCCTGAAATGAGGTGAGAACAGAGGGATGTCCTCATCGGTATGCTGCTTTTGCTTTACTATTCAGTCACAGGTTGGAGTGTATCACTCAGCTGCAGTGCAGTCTGCAGAGCGGTTTCAGGTAATGTAGGAGCTGACTATGCTTTCTGACAAAGGTGTCTGGAACACAAGACTAGCGGAATAGAATTTTAAATATTTTTGACAGGTAAAGCAGTTCTCTTACTGTATAGGTATTGTAACTGTGGATTTAGCTGTGTGCCTGGAGTTCAGCTTTAAATGCCTGTACAGAATTTGTCAAACAATGTTACCAGGCCAAGACAAGCGGGACCTGCAGAGGGCACAACAAGGCTGCTTGGGGATTTACCTCCAGGAAACATCACTGCACCCTCCTCCCCCGCCACCACCCAGAGAGGAAGAAGAGGGCATGGGAACAGAGCAAATTAATTTAACATCAGCACTGTAAGTCCTTTTTCTATCTGCGTTACACTGCTCACCTCCGCACTCTGCATTACATTACTGACCTCCACTCTCTGAGCTAAATTACTGACCTCCGCACTCTGAGCTACATTACTGACCTCTGCACTCTGAGCTACATTACTGACCTCTGCACTCTGAGCTACATTACTGACCTCTGCACTCTGAGCTACATTACTGACCTCCGTACTCTGCATTACTTTACTGACCTCCGCACTCTGCGTTACTTTACTGACCTCCGCACTCTGCGTTACTTTACTGCACTCTGCGTTACATTACTGACCTCTGCACTCTGCGTTACATTACTGACCTCTGCACTCTGCATTACACTACTGGCCAATGCACTCTGCATTACACCACTGGCCAATGCACTTTACGTTATACCACTGACCTCTGCGTTACATTATTGACCGCCGCAACCTGTGTTATACCAACTGGCCAATGCATTCTGCGTTACATCGCTGACCTTTGTACTTTGCGTTATAACTGACCTCTGTCCCAATACTAAAAACCAATACCGGCACTTACATTTTACAAATTGACTCCGGTGTCTTAAGTCTGGCGCTTGCTGGGGACCCTGCGACAGTCTTCTGGGGACCACGCATTGCCTGCTTACAGCGCTTCTGTCACCCGCACATCTCCCCTTACTAAGACCCTCTACACCCCTCCTGACACCATCTGCCATCAGGCCAGGAGTAGAGTGGCAGCACAGAGTGTGTAGCAAATTCAAATACTATTATTCTGCATTGCTCTATGTTTGGCTGGGATTTGTAGTGATCTATAGCCGGTGCCATTCTGCATTGCTGTTTAATGTATTGCTGAGATTTGCAGTGCTCTATAGCCGGTGCCATTCTGCATTGCTATATGATGTATTGCTGGGATTTGTAGTCCTCTAAAGCTGGTGGTATTCTGCATTACTGTATAATGTATTGCTAGGATTTGTAGTCCTCTATAGCTGGTGGTATTCTGCATTACTGTATAGTGTGTTGCTGGGATTTGTAGTCCTCTATAGCTGGCGGTATTCTGCATTGCTGTATAACATAGGAAATTATTTACACAGCCCTGGTGTTTGCTGAGATTGCTTTTTAAAATCTAAAGAAAAGCTTTTGAGAGGTTTCCTCTTCTTCTGAGCTCTGAAACAATACCTGAGGAAGAAAGGAAAACCCTTAAAAGCTTGTCTTTTAATTAATAGGTCAGTACAATATATGGTTGGTGTGATATACCAACCACTCAGAGTTGTCAGCAGCGGTAAGATTTTCTGTAACAGCAAACCACAGATTTAAAAGTTTATATGCACTGTTTACTGCCATACGTTCACAATCTCCTTTTAAGGTGACACTCTGTGATCTAGAACATATTTTTTAGACAGTGTCTGTCAGGTGGGTAGGATGTGGTCACCTGTATGCAGCTTATATAGTCTGACATGCAAAATTCTCAGAAAGATGCTGCAGGTTTATAAAGTGTCTTACTAGGAATTTTACAGGGGTTTTTTTTTAGTGATTTGTAACAGTCATTGCTTTACACCAAGCAAAATATCTGGGAACAGGGCAGTGACATTACATGACCAAATTGCCTACCTAAAAATGTACACTCTTTTTTAAAAACACATACTGCTTTTGTTTGGTAAATTGTTTTAATAAAAACCCTGCTTAGATTTTTTTTTATATAAACAGACAAATAAAAAATGTACAAACATCATTTTAACAGCTTATAATAATAATTTTAAATATTTAAAAAAATATTTTTTATCAAGTTGCCTTTCATTAAAACAGCTAGAGCCAGCATCCTGACCATTTCTGTAAAAGTACCTTTCTCTGTGAAAGAGCATAATGACAGTTCAGCAGGAGCCAGCTTGTTTGTACACATAGCATTATAGTGAACACATGATTAGGAAGCAAGTTGGCTATTGGCTACAGAATCCACTCACTGCCTGCCATCAAAGAACAACGGGGCAGACCTGATGGGAAACCAGTCCCTCAGCATCCCATCAGGCCCCACCCACTATTAGGGTCACTGGTTGTTAAGGGGGCTTAACAATCCCTGACGCTAACAGCGGCGATGGAGCCCGTTAAGGATGCTGGTACCTGGTAACAACAACAATTTGATTGAAATGTCCACAAGAGGACAGAAGAAGAAAAAGATTCTAAGAAATGTTTTCATGAATAACCAGTTTGACTTTATTAAATATCAGGTGAGAGGCATCCGGTGGATAATTTTTAAAGTCACTCCAAAGAGGAAAGTGGCAGTTTCCCCCTTACTGACTCACATACCCTTACTGATATTTATCTAAGCTATGTTGGTCTGTTTCAGAGCTTACACAGGGATAATGAGCTCCCCCCTGTCTCAATGACTCGGGCCTAGTGAGTTCCGGCTCAGGCACTGAGATATGCATCATGGGCAAAGTGACAGGTTTACAGGAATTTTAGAGTTCACCTTTAATAAAGCAGAAAACACTATACACAGTAACTCATAACAACCATGAATTCTTCTTATCACTCTAAACTGTTTAAATATACTGGTTCATGGGTTACTATACTTTCCATATCATCACAGACCAGTAATTTTCTCTTAGAGCTATATATAACAGGTAAAGATGATTGTGTTCCCACTTACTATTCCATAACAAGGATGATTTCACTGTTTGTTTCATAGACCTCATGGAGATCCACCACATAGGTTGAGAAACGGGCCATTTCCAATACAGCAATCTCATTGATAATATCACTACGGCAATCTTCCCCCTTCCTGCGCTTTCTCAGGAACTTTGCTGCATATTCTTTGCCGGTCAGTAATTCTACACATTTTTTGACCACGGCAAACTTCCCCCTAAAAGAAAACGCAAGAAAAAAAATTAAATTTTATTTTTAAATGCTATACTTTTTATGACAATAAGCATTCTTACAGAAGTCAACTGTAAATTCAGTGAGGGGGATTAATCAAAACTGGAGCAGACAAAATATGGAGCAATTGTGCATGGCAACCAATCAGCTTCTTTCTTTCAGTTTCAAAGCTTAACTGAACAGAGAAGATGATTGGTTACTATGGGCAACTGCTCCAGATAAATCCCCCCCCAGTGTCTTTAATAGAGAAAACAGTGTCCTGTACATACAGATTAGGTGTTCTGATTTGTTAAAGTTTAAAGCTCCCCAAAAGGCACATAGAAAGCTTGTCAGGGTACTGTATAGACATTGCTGGTGTCATCCTGTAAAAGAAGAAGGTAAATACTTTAGACACTACTCTGTTTACAGGTTCTGATCGTGAAGTTCACGGGTAATCGATACTTAAGTGAATATTGATATCCTAAACCACAGCACCTCTCACTGTTTCCTCCTGTTGATCTGCACTACTGTGTTTTAAAGTGAGGTTGAGGTTGTTGGGGAAATTTGAATATGGCTTCAGTCAAGATTTAGGTCCGGTGGTTATGGTCCTGTTCCCTTCAGCTCCTCTAACCTTGTATAGATTTCATAAACAAGAATGAGTGGACGTGTGAAAGTATAGTTTGGTATGTTGGAAAAAGTAAGAGAGACTCTGGGAGACTTTGGGTTATCTTGCTCCAAGTGAGCTTGTTATGGCTAAATAATGAGAATGTCTTCTGGATATTCACAGAGTTTTTAGATGTCTAGAGCGTTACATAAGTGGGTTTGCCTGGTGTTAATGAAGGGGTATGTCAAGTGTTAATCAGCTTCTTTGCATAAATGTTCGAGATTATATCATTACTGAAGTGAAAACAATTTAGCACTTACCTCTTTGCAGTTAAAGGGGCACATATATATGTTTAATAAACATGGATTATACTATCATCACACAAGACAGTGGTCTAAATTATTGTCCAACAAGGTTAGAGGGAGGAAACAGTGAGAGCTGCTAGGGAACAAGGAGATCGACACTACCAGAAGAGTCAGATTCCCAGCAGATTTGGGGGGTAAAAACACAAGTGAACTGAGTGGTGTTCGGAAATGCGGTCACTAGGAAGAGTTAGAATTTACAGACTTAGTTTACAGGTGTTATTTTTTTTGTGACAGGCAGGTTGCTTCAGGGCAGGTGCACACCTAGACGACAGCCCACCATGCGGCATTCGTGCACAGTTCCACGCGGATTGCTGCTCAGTCAGGAGTCGCCCAGGTGTGCACCGATCGCGCTCGCCGTGTATCGCAGAAAAAAGGTACAAGTACCTTTTTTCTGTACCTTGTACTTTTTTCTGTGATACACGACGATCGGCTGTTTTAGCCACGATCTTATTCAGAAGCACGGGTGGAGTCACAGTGGGAAACCGTGCAATACGCCCGGGCGCGACTGGGGTGCCGTTGGAAAATAATGGCACCCACAGAGTGATCGGTGCACACCTGGGCGACTCCTGACCGTGCGGCAATCCGCGAGGAATCGTGCACGGTTCCTGCGTGGTGGGGTGTCGCCTAGGTGTGCATCAACCCTAAGGTAACACAGCAACCTGACCCCAGCTAGCTAAATTAGCATAAAGGAGCAATGCAACCCTGATTAATTCATCATTTTGTTCTTATGTCCTTTTTTTTTGTAACAAATTGTTTATTAATTTTTTCATAAAAGAAAATAAACATCGCATTTCACATAGGATGTGGTGACAATCATCGTTCCATTAATGTGATTCAAGTAGTAAGGCGACTCTTGGTCACAAGCACTATGTATACATCCTCTAGTATATTACAGTAAATAACTAAAACAAAACAAAAAAAAAAGAAAAAGGGAGAATAAAGCACAGGAGGGAATAGGAAAGGAGGGGGAAAGTCAGATAGAGAGTCCATCGGTGTGGGTCATACTGGTATTTTTTTCAAAGTCGGTGCATAGGGTTCGCTGTTGGTCTCCGGGTGTGCACCCACTTTATCGCTCGTTAACGGAGAAGTCTCTCATAGGTGTCTAAGGGTTTCCATATTCAATTCAGGATGTTGGTACGAGATCCAGGGCTCCCAGGTATTTAAAAATTTGATATGTGTGTCTGCCAGTATACTAGTCAGTCTATCATTCATCATAATATTGTCCAATCTCACCGTGAATTCATGGTATGGGATAAGTTGTTTTTTCCAATTGCTTGCTAATGTCAATTTGGCGGCAAGGAAAATTTGATGTGTCAAAGCGCTTTGGAATTTAGTTAAACCAGGTACTGTGGCGTGTAACAGAGCCTGTGTGGGGTCTTTAGGGATATGGGTATTAAAGAGACTTGACAGTAAACGATAAATCCTGCGAGAGGCAAATGGACAAGTCCACCATATGTGGAACATGTCTCCCTGGAGAGTGCACCCACGGAAGCACCTGGCGGACGTGGTCGGAAATATTTTAGCCAGATGGGTAGGGACTAGATATCAGCGGAACAGTACTTTATATGCCACCTCTACATTAGTTACATTAAGAGAGCATTTAGCAATGTTTCTCCACACCCCCTCCCAGTCTTCGTCAGTCCAGTTTAAATTGAGGTCCACAGTCCATTTTGCAGGATAGGAGTGTTGATGTCTGGTGAGTGGAGACATACATGTTCGAAACAGGTAAGCGGTTTGTTCAGGGTTCGTCTGTGTTGCAGGGAAGACACCAAATGTTGTATTTGTAGATATCTGAACCTTTCTATGTCAGGAATCTTTTTGTGTTCTTTTAGGTATGACCAGGTGAGACTAGCACTATTGCGAAAAAAGTCATGAAGTCGATTATAGCCATTGTCCCTCCACCATTTAAACAAGTCTGGGTTATCATGTGCAGGGGGAAATAGGGGTTGGGAAAGTATAGGGAGGAGGGGCAGGTTGGGAGACATGCTCTTATGTCCTTTTAATGAGCATCTGATGTTAGAATGAAAGCCATGTGTGCAATGCAGTAAAAAGTGATTAAAGGTGCTGCCCATTCCTCTCTGTGAAGGGTATTACAAGAAACTAATATAAAGAAAGAAATCAGATACTTACTGTATACTGACTCTGTCTATAACTAGATTTAACACTTGTTAATAAAGATATAAGCTGTTAAAACAGTAGCTTTTGTTATATCTGCCTGTAGTTTTGCTTTTCCTAGGACACTATAGCCAACAAAAAGGTTCATTTATTCAAAGTTGATTCTGAACATCTCATCAAGGTAACCTTTTTATGGAGTGATACATTTTTACAAACAAGCATATTTGATAAAGCAAACATTTAAATACTAAGGAAAGATTGGTAGAACAGATACTATATCAGATCTTTTATCATCTCTGGCAAAATAATGTTTTATCCATAACCAGCATTACTACTCCTTTAACTATCTGTGGCGATATGCTTTTCGCATTCTATTTTTGCTTTCCGGATTACTAGTTTGCATTTTTTGTTACATTCCTTGTATTTAAGGAACGCCAATGCCATCCCTTCCATCTTATATTTTATAAATGCCATTCTCTTTGCCTTAACATGTAGTTTTACAGTTTTACGTACCGTTTTAGATATAGTTAGATTTAATGATGCTACTGCAGAACACAAAGACTTAACATCAAAGGCTCACGGGAGGTCATTATACAGTTCTCACGTAATCAGAGGAAGTGAAGTTCTCTTCACTGAAGCATACCCATCCTACGCTTGCCACAAGCATCTGTAAATACGTCCTTTTATGCCTTCTTTTCTTCTAGTTTTGCATTTACTTCTATACATGAAGCTTCAAATGCCAGCCACATTAAATTAAATAAACACTATTAACCACAGAGTGTATACAGGACCTAGTTCCATTCAATACAAATGAAAGTTCAAGTTAAAAGAAGGCTCTCCCCAGGATGTAAGCCCGGTGATTATTCCTTACCATGAGTCCCAAGGTTACGTTGGCTGTTTGTACTATAGCAGGGACTGCCACACTCTGATGCCAGCAGAAGGACTGGAGCCTAGATTAATAATTGCAGCAGCACTCTATAGTAGTATAAACAGGAGCATAGGTAGTTTTTTTCTTGGGGGGTCCAGCTCTCTCAAACAATATGATTTGGAGGCACCCTCATGCACTCAGAGAATGAGATGACGCATGCAGCTCACCATGGTGAATTGTGTGTGTGCCGCAAAATTGAGAGGGGCGTCACAGAGTGCAGAACTTCCCTTCATTCGGGGGGCGTCCCCTGCAGTAAACCCTTTCCACCACTAGATTTCCACAGTTTTCTAGATTTAAAGAGGAACTTTACCAATATCTTCAAAATAACAGTAAAGGCACCTTTAGAAATGTTTAGTAACGACAATCTACAAACAGATACTTATAGATAATTGCCGGCTTTTTACTTTTTGCATACCTTATTTTTCCTTTCTTTCCCAGTCTTCTGACAGTGGCCATTTTAACTAAGGGCAGGTTACTCGATCTCCCTTTACGTCCTGGAACTAGGACATGTGACCATGCACATCATATCAGGGGAGGAAAATACCGTTCCCTGAGGTCTTATGAGAATACAGATGAGATTTCCCAGCAATACACTGTGATGTAACTAGAGCTGTATAGTATGCTGATGTGATTTTTAGTCAAAGGGGTAAAGGTCCACTTTAAGAAAAGTGATTGCTTAATGAGGTCAAAGTTAAATAAGCTATAGTGGGATTAAACATGTCCAAAGAATACATTTTAAAATGTAATATGTAAACTGGTATTTGCGTGTCTTGTCAACAAATATGAGCCTGAGACTATTAAATGTAAGCAATTAGAGCTAAGCCTAACTGTTTGTTCTTGTGAATGCTTTGCTGATGATATCTGTAATAAACTATAGAATGATAGCTATGTGTTTATCTTTGCCCGTTAGGAAAATAAGTGATTTCCGTTTACAGATAAATAAGAGGGCCATAAGCCTGTAATTCCCTACTTCAGAATACTAAGTGGTTTTAGCA